TGTGCGAATGGTAACGCGCTTCCACCAGCCGCCGGCTGCACCAAGAATACCTGAAGGAGGACAGAGGTGGGCAGGTTTACCCAGGAGGCATCGAACTTCCGCCGTCCAGCACCCACCTCACACCTGCCACCACATGCCACGTCCTGTACTAGCGACTGGGGACACAGATGAGACCGAGGGGCGCTCCCACCCCGTGCTGAGCTACAGGCCAGGTAGGGCGGGTAGGTATGCACGCTGTGGGGGAGGGTCACAAAAGCTTCTTTACTCTTCCATGTGCACAGATGAAACGAGCTAAGTGCTACGGTAAGGGTGTCATGTGCGGGCATCGCGGCCTGGGCCACCTAGGTGCCTGTCAGGCCCAAACGCCCGAGTCTGCAGCTGGCTCTGAGCTGCTTTACAGACGTTATCGACTCCTCAAGTCTATGAGCTCAAAGCAGCAAGTGTTCAAAGTGCTAGTGAAGGAGACAGATGACAATAACAGAACCCAAGGTGGAGGTGGAGTTTTCTTAACTGAAAGTGGCAAAAAAAGAAAGAAATGGCAAATGCTGCATACACGTGTGAGATGAGTCATCTGACAGCTGGCACGATTCTGAAGGACAAAGAGCTAAACCACACCTCGCAGAAGCAGCCCTCTGTGAGGGGCCAGGCAAAGTGCCAGGAGGAGCAAACGTAGCACATGTGCTGGCGTGGGGGTGGAGGGAGGGCAGGACACGCATGCTGCCTGCTGGGGACCTGATGCCACGCGGGAAAGGGCTGCAGTTGGCTGAAGGTCCCCAAACGAGGCCAGGCATGGGGGGTGGCCACTGAGGAAATGCCCGTGGTAAACCACAGGTTGTCCCCAAGGGCAGGCCCACTTGGCATCAGAGTGATGAGGCCACACGTGTGGACATCCCAAGAGCAAAGGAGTGCCCTGTGCCCTTCTGAAGAGAGGCAGGAGGGTTATCTGCCTTGTTTCTAACAACATTAAACTAGTTTCCTTGGGGGTGGGGGAGAGCACGGGCATGTCTTGCAGTTTGAAACCCTGCGACTCTGAACTGACACTCCAAATGCTGAGCATACACCAGGGACTCATGCTGAAAGCCCCACCTCCCTTAACTTACATGTCCAAGCCAAAAAAACAACACAGAAGAAAAAGGCTAAAGATGCCAGCTATATGAGGCTGCGGCGATGACAGGGACTCAGTTTCAATAAAAAGTACATGGTGCCAAGACCAGACCCGCAGCTGTGCACAATACGCAAATCCCTGAGGTATATTTGAGATAAATCAGAACACACGTCCGGGTGACCAGAGCTGTTACCGATAAACTTGGAGAAACCACCCTGTGGGAGGAACAGCACTGCCCAAGGCGTCCCCCTCCCAGTGGAAACTGCAGGCTGGTTGGGAGCCAAATGTCACATTGCCACATGGCAGGGGCACGCCTAGCTTAAAAGTGGACCACTGCAAGAGCACCAGGTGGCACCACCACAGCTGAACTCCCAAGAGGTAGGTCCCTGCAAGAGCACAGGCCTTAGCAATGACCTCTCCTACCAGGCCGACTAAGAATGCCCCTATTCCCCCTGGCAAGAATGGAATGAGGATGAGGGCTTAATGGAAGGACAGGGAGAGAAAGGAGAGGTGCAAAGTTAGGAACTGAAAGAGAAAGAGTTTGGGGAAACTGGCCAAAGATGATCAATGGATCAAAACACATCCTTCTCGTCACTGGTTTCCTCATCTTCCTTCAGCCACGAAAGCCTACGTTATCTTTTCAAACGATGGCTGCTAGTCCCCTTCACTTTGACCGTCAAATGACATGGTAAGTACTGTGATTCTTCATGAAACTAGAGCTAAACCAGCAGAGTCGTCTAGTTTTGCTCTTTTCAACCATTAATGCCTACCTTATCTATTTAGCCATGTTTTCACCATTTTCAACTGCATATTTAACATTTCGCAGCTTTCTTTACAAAGATGTAGCTTCCAATAGGAATAAAGAAATTGCCAACTTTTTTTTTTTTTTTTTGGCTGGCCATGCCTGAAAGCATTAAGGTTGTAAATAGTATTTTAATCCTGAAATGAAGAATAAAAAAAGGGGAGAAACAGTACTGCCATCATTGTTTGAAAAAGAAACTTGGGTAGCACTTAGAAAGTTACTTAAAAAGAGGGAGATTGGATATACCTGTTTGGGACCAAAATGAAGTTGTGGGAAGTTAGGAGAAGAAAGTGATGTTTCTCAACCAGGGACAGTTGAGAGGCTTCTTGGGAGGGGGCTACGGGGCATCTGCCAGAGCTGGGGGGGAGACCTGGTTGGGTGCTAGGGGGAGAGGCCAGGGACACTGTGTCTTACACTGCCTGGAACAGCCCCACAGAAGGCAGAGTTCTGACAAACACAACCAGCAGGGTCCCCCAACAGAATCAGTGCTGAAATTTTTTCAGACTGCCCTCCTATGAAGCTATGAGGGAGGAAAGGCATCAAATCACCGTCAGCTCAGGGGGCCTCCCAGCCCATCTCATTGTGATTACACCACCTGACCCTTGGGGGTTTGCTGCCTGTATCTTCCCAACAGAAGGTGAGCCCCAAGGAAGAGGGCCCCAGCCCGTTCAGTTCCCCACACTGGCAGTCCCCACCTGAGCACCCAGCACCAGCTCAGCAAATGCCCACCCAACGACGTCATTAAGCTGGGCCCGCAAGGCATGCTGAAGACCTGACTCCAGCCCCTACTTACCAGGCCGAGGGGGATATGGCCACCGCCAACGTGGGGCAAGTTCCCTCTGCCAAGCAGACCTCCACGTCGAACACCAGGGCCTGCTCCTCGGGGATGGCCACGGGTACGGCCTCCCCCTCGGGGCCGTACCGGGTCCAGCCCTCCGCCCAGGCCCAGCTCGGGGGCTTGGGCGGCAGCTGGGCCTGCAAAAGCGAGTTGGCCGCCTCCAGGTAGGGCAGGCTCTGCTTCTGGGCCAGGAGGCGGAAGTGCTGGTCCAGGCTGCCCCCGTAAAGGCGCGGCAGGCGCAGCTCCACGTCGGGCAAGGGCGTGGCTGGCTGCCCCCAGAGCCCGTGCTTCTGCAAGTGCTCGACGCTGCGGCGCACCGCGGCCTCGCTGGGCTGCTCTCCTCCGTGCCCGAAGATTTGCTCGTGCAGCCCTCTCGAGAGCATCTGGATGTGCAATGGGTTGTGTCGCAGCTGCCCGCCCTCGGAGGATGGCACTTGCTGCTGCTGCGACTGCGGTTCCCCGTCGCAATGGACTGGGACGGAGCTGGAGACCCAGCGCCCTGGAGCTGGAACTGGCCCTGGCCCGATCGTGGCGCTGGCCACTTTCTTCCAGAGCTGGCGACTCATGGTTGCTGCAGGGAGTCCCCCGCTGCGAGTCAGGACACCTGGCTTTGGGCTCCAGCTTGACTGCTTTTACTGGCTGAAAGGCCTGGAGAGACACTCGTCCAGTCTCTGTTTTCCTGCCAGTGAAACGGGCCTGACCATGCCTGCTTTCCACCCACAAACCCTACAGGAGAGAGAGGACGATAGAGTTGTTACCTATGCACCACGTGTCGCATGAACAGCCTTCATTCCCTGGGCATTTAACAGTGTCCCAGCACCTCAGACACACTTTCTGTTATGCCTCGAACAACATCGGGAAGTAACAATACCCCTCCTAAGAGGTTCACACGGGCTCATCGATGAACTCCGGGAAGCCGAAGGCACGGTTAAGAGCGCCTACACCTAACCTGGAGTAGATGGAGGCAGGTCTGCACCCCGGTTCTGGCTCTCAGAAGCTGTGACCTTGGGCAAGCTTCTGAGGCCTCCACTTCCTACTCTGTAAAATGGACTGTCACACAGGGACTGCTGTCTGGGTGACCCAGGGAGATTATATCGCGTGACACTGCCCTCGGCAAGCGCTGGGCGAATGGTGACGGTAACCGCCGCGACCCGAGGGCCCAGCACAGAAAGGTGCCAGCACCCGGAATCGTACCAGGCGGATGCACCGCGATCCCCCGGGGCCCCCACGCTCGATGGACTGTGGCCCAGCAAGCAAAGGACGCCCTGCAGGGGGCATCGGCGACCACCCCGCGCGCCCAGCCATCCGCCTGCACCCCTAGGTGGGCCCTGGGACTGGTCGCCGCCCGGCTCCGGCGTCGCT